CCTCGGCTCACCGCAACTCGGCTCACCACAACCTCCGCCTCCTGGGTTTCCCCATTTCAAGTACACCTATTTCACGTTGAAAACAATGTTGGCCGGGCGCCTGGCTCACGCCTGTAATCCCAGCACTTTGGGAGGCCGAGGCGGTCGTATCACGAGGTCAGGAGATGGAGACTATCCTGGCTAACTCGGTGAAACCCCGTCTCTACTAAAAATACAAAAAAATTAGCCGTGCCTGGTGACGGGCGCCTGTACTCCCAGCTACTCGGGAGGCTGAGACAGGAGAATGGCGTGAACCCGGGAGGCGGAGCTTGCAGTGAGGCGAGATGGCGCCACTGCACTCCAGCCTGGGCGACAGAGTGAGACTCCATCTCAAAAAAAAAAAAAGAAAAAAGAAAACAATGTCAATGATAAAGAACAAATATTATTGTCAAATGAACACCTGGCAGTCTAGAAAAAGTACCCGTTTTGTTCCCAAATATCTTGTTTTCCAAAATGTATATTCCCAGAATTGGAAATAAAAATCTTGTATCAAATCTATGCAATCCCCAAATCACTACAGTTTATCTTTTCAAAGAAAGGAAACTGAACAAATAATCACAAAAGGTTTCACAGACAGTGCTGATACTACAACAGCCTCCATATTACTAGCACAGTTCATACACCTTATGCCTTCAAGGCAACCTCATCAGCACAGGCTTGCCAAACTAGCCATGGCCCCCACTTCCTGAGGGTCCATGTTGAAAAATCCATTCCTATGCACTTTAGTGGAAATAGCTTAAGTCCACAAAGGCTAAGCAATTAACATATCAATAATGAACATTTCCCTCCTATATATTTTTATCAAGCGTTTTCTGAATTCAATAGGCTTCCAAATGTCTACCTGCTGAACTGGATTCAAAGCAGCAACCTCTGTAACTATTTCCAAGGCACGTAAAGTTTGGTTTTCCAGCCAGTAGGTGAGATGTCTGCACTCAGAGGACATATTCACCCAGTAGTGTAGAGCAGGTACAGAAATACTAGAATACCCATTTCTGTTCACTTTCTCTCCTTGTCCTTACTAAAAAAAAAAAAAAAAAAAAAAAAAAAAAGCTGTTGAAATTAATATGAATCAATCAGATTCCAATTGAAATCCCAATTTCAGCTAGAAATTCTCAAACTCGATCATAAATTTCACCAACTTAGTTACATCTGATAACTTCTCTAAAGAAGAAAAAGATAGGACAGTATAAGTGGGAAATTTGTATTATGCTTTTAAAAATATTTTGGTATGGATTTTATAATTTACGCAAGAACATGCATATAATTTAAAAATAAGTGTGCATACACTGAGTATATGCAGGCTCGAAAAAACTTAAGACTTTGGGAACAGAGAATAATATACACTGGTGCTGAATACAGGTACGGTCCCATTTACTCGCAATATACGAAACAGAAATTCACACAACAACCGATTATTTTAGGCAGCAAACCTTGTTCCAAGAGTCTGAAGCCACTTTAAGTTTCCTGCCAGGAGACAGTCCCAGGGAGTGCTCAATGTTCAGGGTCAAATCAGGTTGGAATTCTAGAACTTTTATCTTCAGGCGGCATTTTAAAACCCAACACAGGGACCGCATGCATACTACCAACACCTGCACCCCTTTTTCCAACCAGAGACTCCAGAAAATTCCACCCCCAGACCCGCCTAACGGGGAACAATATTGCCATCCTCGGGTGGGGCGGGCTACAATGTTTTCCGGGTGGCAACAATGTCACCCCCACTGCCCCTCACCACTAGTGACAGAGGCTTTCCTGGATTCAAACCTTGCTCAACTTCCCGCCATTCACAGAATCCTGACGCCCAGCTTAGGCACATAACACACCCAGGATTTCTGCTCCCGGTGTCGCCTCCAAGGCTGCAAAGGGCTCATGTCCTATGTGCCAAAAGCAAAACAATGCTAAAAGGCCACTTGTGAGCAGCTGGAGCAGCGCTCACAGCTCCCTAGTTGGGAAACTCTTCCTCCAAAACTCAAGCGAAGACCCTTCTCCATGACCAGAGCAGCCGTGAACACCCCAGCGGGTGCCTGCAGGGAGAAGAGCAGCCGCCGGCCAGGCCACGTCCCCAGAGCCGAGACAGGCTCCGGGCTGGCCGGGCGGCGGCACAGGCCCGTGGCGACTCTGCCTGCGCCCGCCTCTCCCGGGACCCGCGGCACGCAGCGGGCCCGAGGCCAGCTGTTCCGGGGACAGCGGCCTCGGATTCCCCGCCCGGATGCTGGCTGGGCCACGGAGCCTGCAGGTCTTTCGGACTCTGGAGGCACAGAACTAGTGAAAAGCCCCAACTATGCTGTTGAAATAAGCCAAAGAGAGTAGCAGCAAGCAAGTCTCATTATTTCGTTGAAAAACCCAAAGATTTCCAGGTTATCATCACTACGGCTTAAAGCCAATTGCTCAGACAAGACACCTCACTTGCCAATCCTAAGGAGACATTTCCAAGGGGACGCTTATGGAAGAAAGTCCCCTTGGGCGAGAGACACTGCAGGCTGGGGTAGGGTGTTTGGGCCTCCTTCCCAAGGTCAGGTGGCCTTAGTCACTATGAGGAAAAGGTGCTGCTCTGAATTATTTAGCGGAGCCTGTTGACAAGGGAAGTAACTCAGTTAAGGAGCTTGTCTTAAAAATTGAGGTAGACAGTATACACATTAAAATAAGTGGATTTAGGCATTCAGTATACCACAGTCAAGATATGGGCCTATCATCCTCCAAATGTAAATGTCCTAAAGCTCCTTCCCAGCCAGAGGGATGTCTTTTTAAAGGAACAATATTCTCAAACTGTTAACGTGATCACTTCCTTCAAAGAAAAGGAATTATTTAAGCTGTGGGTGGAACCGTTTATGAACCTCACTACCTGGCAGTGCTTTCTGTCCTAAACACTTGTCTTCTACTCAGAACACTGGTTTGTCACCTTTAATCTCAAATTGCTGGCATTCTAAATCCAGGAATGAATAAAAGGGCCAAACAATTAATTTCCAAAACGTTTTTCATGAAAAGCTAAAGAGAGTAAGTAGAATCTTGCTCAAAACTGAGCAAATTTTATGTTAAGTATTAGTTACTTCAACCTGACATTGCACATGCTAAAAAGTGAATCTGAAGAGCTTCTGAGTACCTCCCACCCAGGGTGAGTGGAGAGCTTCACTTCTCAATTCACACTCCCCAATGCAGTTTGAAGGGTTTTCTAATTTTAAAAGTGAATCAATCTTTCACAAGTCTGCCAACACTGAGCATCTACTGTTTCAGTCTAAATAAAAATATAGGTGGATCTTTAACTGGAAATATAAACTGACGTTTAAACTAAAAGCAGCTCTCAGGAGGGAAACTCCTGGATTCAACCCCATTCTGCTCGCCCTGCATTTGATCCCAATCTGCAAGTGAACTGGCTCCATTTTTCTGTTCCTGGGATTTGGATCGGTATTTACCTCAATCATTCATTTTTCTAAAAGTGCTTAAAGAACATGAACCCATATGTTAAAACTAGGAGTCCATTCAAAGTTTAAAAATGAAAACTGCCCCCTAGCTTCTTACCTAGAAGAAACCCTTTAAAAGGAGATGCCCACAACAAGTAGATTAGAATTTCAACTTTTTCCCAACAGGAGAAGCCAGCTAAAGGCCATCAGGCAATGGCTCCGCCCTCCTCCCCAAATAGCAGGTTAGGAGTGGAAAAGGTAGCAGCGCTGGGCTCACCTTTGCGGTGCTCGGTACCCACTCTCCAGCTCACACAGGCCATGACCCCCACTATGGTTTTTAAAGCCTCTGCAGTCTCCAGCTTACGCTATCAAGACTTTCACCAACACCCTTTCTCACCGGTCTACAGGTAGATCGCTTAAGTTACTGACCCCCTCCGGCAGAGCCCGCTTCTCAAGACTTTTGGCCTGCCTTTATTGGGTTCGGGGGAGCAGAAGATACTCGCGTAATACCAAAGAAAACGAGAAAGGGTTCACACTGTGTGAAAAATAAGCAAAAGTTTACTCGACAGCCCAAAGGGCGTAATCAAGCCCGAGGGTTGCGATGTAGCCCTAAGACCCTTCGCGCTCCGGCGTTCCAGCAGCGTACGGCTGCCTTGGTCTTTTCCAAGGAAGTGGAGCCCCTGGTTGAGCCGGGTGGATACCTCCTAACCAGGGAAACCGGTTCCTGTAGGGCTTGGAGTCCGGGCAGGCGGGCGCGGCCCAAGAGACTCAGGCGGGTGAAGGTAACGTCGTCCCCTTATTCTGCTTCTATCTCGGGGTGGAGCCGTGGGCCTACGAACGGCGATTTCACGCTAGGAGAGTTCAGGGGCCAGAACACGCATTTCAAACAATATAGGAAGCAGCCGCGGCGAGAAGGCCTTAAGACGGGGGGCCCTTCGCCCCCAAAGATCCACAGACTCTCCCACTCTTACCCAACATAAGGAGGCAAGGACTACCACGCTGTCCCAACAAAAAAAAAACCAGTCTTCCCCTCACAAGTGCGCACGTGGAAACCAGGTCTACGGAGGCACACCAACTCCACGCACTCACCCACACAACCACCACACAACCATCCCTTCCGGGCTCACGCCCTATTTTAAAGGCAACAACCTATGAGTTTTCCAAACAAAAATCTGAAAATAAAGGAGCCCCTTCTCATCACGTTGGGAGGCCTCTGGCGTGCCTGCGCCAGGAGGCCACGTCTACACAAACACACCTCTCTCTTCCCAACTCATGCCTAACTGAAGACGATTGCCGCGTTTTGCCACACACAAATTAAAATCGGAAAAGGGAGGATCCCACGCTATGGGATATTTCGGGGCCCCTCGCGACACTTACACAGAATCCACTTCCACATACTTCCCAGGTCATGATCTACTTTGGTAGCGAGGACTGCCACGTAGCTGAAGGAAATAAAAAGCAAATCCGGAGAGGGCCTCCCCCCCTCGCTACGGGACCGGCCGGGAGACCACTGTTGAGCATACACGGTTATCCGGTGAACACAAACACACGCCCCCACGCACTCACCTCGTCGTCGTGGTGCTGGCAGAAGCCGAGGCGCTCGGGAAACACTGAGAGGATGGAGAAGGGTGGGCCAGGAAAGGGCGGCCCGAGCCCCAGCTGCTGCGCCGCTGCC